GGGCGGCCGCCCCAGGCGGGAGCAGCCGAGCGCCGAGCGCCTCCGCCGAGACCGCTCCGTTCCGCCCCGCCCCTCGGGGCGCACCCAGTGTGGCCGGCCGAGCGCCGAGCGCCGCGAGCGAAACACTTGTCCCGGGCCCAGCGGGCCGGCGGGGGGGATGGGGCCGGACCCTCAGGGAGCCGCCTGCACACCGGCTCGCGGAAGCACACAAGCCGCGCTCGGCGCGGCTGCCAGCTGCACCCCTGGCCTGGACGGGCTGGGACACTCTTCCCCAACCCTGGACATTCCTAAGGCTAGAATGGGAATCCTCGGGCCAGGAGCATTTGCCTTAACAGCATTCAGGCTCCTGGAGCCCCGACGCCTGGAGCTAGAAACTGCGCCGGGACCCTGTTCCTTTCCCTATCCTGGAAGACTGCCCTCCGTGTCGGAGATCCTGGAAGACACCTGATCCCAACTACGAGGATCCCACAACATCATTCTGGTATCCAAATGTCCCCGCCCCATACCCTCCGGCGCCGTCCCGCAATCCTAAGGAACTCCCCACACGACCGCCGGCACCTCATTCCAGGCACAACCTGCTTCTCCCCAACACCAAACCGATCGCCCCTAGCTGGTCCCTGACAGCTGGGTGGGGCCAGAATCTGACCGTTGTCCCGCCCCCAACCTGGCACCCGCCCCCTACGGCTCACTTAGGTGGGAGATGCTTCTAAGAACAACTGTGCAGGGCAGGGCGGGTGCCAGGACCTAGCCTTAATCTTGGGCATCCTTCCTCAAGGCAAGACTTCCAGGATCTTCTGAATCACTCATTAACAGCCCTCCTGCTCACCAGGTGTTAACTGGAAGACTGATCAGGGCCTCCCCTCCTACGGACAAGGCTAGGGTAGTACCAGACTGAATCCTGGCACCCCAATGGCTTGGCCGGATCCATCAGCACATAACTAGGGGCTGGCACATTGGTCTTCTCGTAGAAACAAGTTGACCAAAGCTGAACCTGACTGCTGAGCACATGCTACCATCCCTGGGTGGCCTGACCCAGGTACCAAGTAAGGAGTGTGAGCCTGACATTCAGGCCTCTACCCGAGTGACAGAAAAAGAAGGCAGCAGGGCTGGAACTTACAAACTACCTCCTGTGCCTCCCAGTCAACCTCAGAGCCAGCTCGACTTCTCAGCCACCCCTGAGAGACCACAAACCTAGCCAGGTGTGTGAGCTGAATGCCTGGGGACAGCCTTCAGCAGAGGCAAGAAGCCCGAGGTCACATCCCTACAGTCTCTTTCGAAACTGTGACCTCCACCAACCACTATGCCCTTTCTGTGCCTTAGTCTCCTTATCCAAGGAGGAGAGGGGCTTTGATAGTGCCACCCTCCACTTTGCAGACCCTCAGGTCTCCTTGGCCAGTAAGGGGGCTTACAGATGAGTCTAGTGGAGGTCAGAGTACAGATCTAGGTAGGACCCTGGCAGCTGCAGGTAGGAGAAACAGAAGGAAACTCAGCCCCAAGCAGCCCCTGGACAGTTCCCCCTGTTCAGGGACCTCCTGCATTCCCCAGAGCCCACCTATTCCTCATTGCCCAGTTCTCTGCTTCGAGATTCAGTAAGGGCTCCCACAAAGTCAGCCTTTGCAAGGCTGGGGCCTTCACCTTTCTGCCCCCTCAGTGGTGCCCATTCCCAGGCTCCTTCACCAAAATATTACTTCTGGATTTCCCAAGCCATCCTCCCCTGGAGAGACCACCGAACATGGTTCAGAAGTCTCACTCTGTTGCTTTGTGGCTGTGTGGCAAAGCAGAGGACCCACAGTCTCTTTCTCCGTAAAACCAGAACACAACAATCCTTAGCTGCACTGAATTGTTTTGAGGCATAAATACGATGAAACTTTAGTATACACAAGCACTCAAGTTACGGGAGGGGTTATAAATGCTGCCGGACAAAGTAGGCACCAACGAAAATCTAGAAAGTGGACTCTAGATCTGCAGTGTCTGAGCAAATTGCAACTAACCTTGTACTAGCCACATTTCAAGTGCTCAACAGCCATAGGTGGCCAGTGGTGGCCTATAGAACACGTATCTAGAGAACCTTTCCATCTCAGAAAGTTCTATCGGAAAGCACTGCTCTAGATAGAAGACGTTTTTAAGACCAAGAATGGTAGAGCCTGACTTGTCTAGGGTTTCAAATCCCAGCTCTGCCACTTCTGTGTGTCCCTGGGCAAATTAATGAATTGCATTGTGCCTCAGTTTCCTTATCTGTAAAATGGGGATTATAATAACACCGGCCTTATATCGTTGTTGTCAGGATATAAATAAGTTTGTGTTTGTAAAGTGCTTAGAACCTATCTGGTTCCTAGTAAGAGCTGAATAAGCATGCATTAAAGTCACTGTCAGGCAGGGCAGGGACTAACTGGATCCAGAAGCAGCCCTGGCCCAGCCCCTGAGTAAAAGAGAAATAACCCCTACATGGCAGGGCAGTTGTGAGGACAGTTGTCAACATACTTTGAAAAGTGACTTGAAACCCTCCCAGGAAAGCAGAGTGGCTGACCCCCTCCTACCCCCCATCTCTCTGGGCCCCTGAGGAGGGTCAGGGCCCCAACCCCCTCTGCACCCTCTCCCCTTACCATCTCCGTAGGCTGGCCCAGGGTCCTCAGCCCAGGTGGGTGGAAAGGGCACTGCAAGAGGTAAGCGGGGCCGGCGGGAGGTCAGGAAGCCGCTAGGCGACCCCCCAGGCTCGCAGCCCAGGG